CATAAGATATTGTTAGTATGTCGAATTAGACACTATGCCAATTAGATATATTTACCTTATATATAGGCTATTTTGGTTAAATAATAATACCTTGCAAACTATTGATTAGGAATCATATAATTTTGGTACTATTCAATTTGTCTCAATAAGGTGAATTGAATGGCACCAAAATCACATGATTTTGATTAACAGTTTGTAAAATATCATTAGTGTACTAAATTAGACACTGCTAAATTAGGTGTATATATACATCAAATTTTTAATTATATATTTCAAAACTTATTTTAGATTAATATAACTATCTTTATATTAAAATTTTTTTATAATTTTTAAATATAATATATTTAGTATTTAACTTTGTATATTAATATTATATATTTAGTATTTAACTTTGTATATTAATATTATATAGTTTTCTATTATATACTTATGAGAACACAATAATTATTTTACTATTCTAAAAAAATTTTTAATAGTAAACAGTAAAAATTTATACTGTGTACAAATTTATAATTGTGTTCTTATAAGAACTTCAAGAACACAAATTTCAAACACTGGTAGTGAGTCTTGACAATAAAAAATTTAAGTATTCCAATAGATATTCTTATAGAATTTTACTAAAATATATTTATGGTGTTTTACATCATAGTTTTCTATTTCTCAAAAATATACTAAGTAAACAGGATTGGATATTCTAAGTAAAAATATTTAGAACTTCCAAAAACCTTACAAAAACTGAAATTAGAACCTTTTTGAATTTTTACAAAAATATCTTGATACCTACTTAACCAAATTTGAAAACTTTTTTTTAATTGTAGAATTATAAATTTTGTTTGGTAGGTATTAAGATATTTTGATTAAAATTTAAAAAATTAAAAAATTATTATAATTTACATTGACAAGAGTGTAAAAATAACAAAAAAGAAACATAAAAATATTAGCTTCTAAAATTTTTTATACTAAAATTTAATTTTATAAAAGCTTTTATATTAAAACTATCTCTAAAGCTATAGATAGGTTTTAGCTAATTTTTATTATTAAATATATTAATTTTTAATTTTTATATTATTTATAATTTGGTTAAACTTTTTATATAACTTAAATTTTTTTGTTATTAAATTATAAAAACTTAGTATTTTTTTAATTGAAAATTTTAATTTAATTTATAAAAATTAAAGGGTTAATTACTAAACTATAAAATTTGTTAATTAAAACATTATTAAGATTAAAAAATTATTTAATATTGAATTAATGGTTTTTTATGTTTGAGTAGTAACTAACAATCAAATATTATTATTTAAGTATATATTAAAAATGTTGTACATGGGACAATTTTGGAATTTTTTCAAATTAAATTTACTCAAAATTTTATCAAGATAATCTATTTAATTTTTTTATAAATGAATCCAGCACCAAAAAAAAATATAATTATATATTTTTTTAAATTACTTTATTATTGATTATTTAAACTTGGGACATATGCTTGGACGATTTTGAACAATCTTGGATGTTGGACGTTGGACATAGTATACGCGTCCCACGTACAACACTGCATATTAATACTAAATTTTATGCATTCGGACGGTATTAGTTGTATATAAATTACTTTATAAATTTGGTATAGCTATAAGATGTGAATTATAGAAAATAGTACCAGGTACGTACGTAATTCTTACGAGTATGTACGTACTGTACGTACGTATGTACGTATGTCGTATGTACGTACGTACAACATATGTTAGTGATACAAAATTATATGTTTAATGCATCAATGGTTATCGATAGTTATTTTTATGTTTTTTTGATTCATTTCAATGGCTAAATTATTGCCGCATCAAAAATGAAATTTGAAGTCCATGTATCCCCACATCTACGCAAGTAGTGTTGCCAAACATGCATACTCACAGTACGTACTTGTGTAATTACATGATACAATGGTACGCATTAATTTAGTTATTTACATGCATTTCATTACATATTTCTTTAATTAATGAATTTTTTAATAGATGCCGAATGTTAATAAAATAAATAAATGTAAACTGAAATTCATTTATTAACCAGACATAAATCAGTATAATGAATTGAAATTCGGTTAGTTAAATACTTTATATAATGTATTAGATATTTATTTATTTATTTTATTTATTTATTTATTTTTTTAAAAAAAGCTTCATGGTTTACTTGGGTCTTATGTAGTTTATAATAAATTAGAGATCATATGCTAAAATAATAATTTTATAAAACTTATAAATAAATCAATAGTAGCCGCAGGCTTATAGAATGTGCATACATACAAGCATAAAATAACGATCTTAAATAATTCTTTGTTAAAAGATCGTAAAATCTGACATGTGATTATTGTTCTTAAAAGTTCTCATCGTTAAACGATCTTCGCTAGTTCTACGTTAATTATAATAATCTCATGCCTTATGTTACATGCATTTTCTAAAAATTACCACCAGAATAATATATACATATATATATGCACTAGAAGACATTACAAAATGATAATCAACACGCATATTACCTTACTGGGTAATTATCCATTTCTCATTCTTAACACCGCAAATTCTAACAAAGAGCCATTTTAAAGTTCCTATTGATAGTAATTATGCTAGGTGCTACAGAAGCTGTGTATGCACAGATTCATAGATATTAAATGTGGGGAAGCGATAAAGTTAATAATGGGACCTTGTCTTGTTAGCCATATTTTCTCTCCTACCTATAAATCGGAAAAGGGCGAAATATTATAATAAAATATATACAGTATAATATGCCAAATTGCTAATTACGAACAATGTTGATATTCTCAAGGAAAATATAATTGTAGATAATCAGATCACTGTTTCAATCGGCATAAAATAAATAATAGTCTTACACTTTTGTGTTCAAACCTGTTTCAATAATTTAAGAAAGGTGCTTCTAAAGCACTTAACCGAAAAGGCTAATCGCGAAAAAAAGAGAGACACCGATTTGAAAAGAAGGCTTGCATTTTCATTTATGCCTTGAGTTTCATTCTGCAATAATTTCAGTTAGGCAATCTATTGATAAATAAGATATCCTTGGCAAAAGTTCCAAAATGACAGTGAATTCGAAGGACCTTTTACAAATTTACTTAATTGTCTGATTGTGGTAACGCCAATTTCTTTCAATGACATGGATGATTAGCGCACAAATTTAATTACAGTAGTTGCTCTTCAACAGTCACCTGTAGCACTTGTACATTATTTAACTATCAATCGTTATTGTATTTTAATTCCATCGTTATATGTTGACGCGTGATCAAATGACAATCTGCATGCGCAGCGCGGACATCATGTGATGTGTTATGGCATGACTTTTTCGCGTTTAGATACTGTATAATAAGTCGTTACTACGATGTTCATATAGACGTTGACGCGTTTGGATCTATCTGATTTTTGTCGAATGGTAAATTAAAGTGCGGAAATATAGATGACGATTAGGAGAACAGTAATGATTAATTCGAGTGTTTGAATTATGCGTTTATCAGTATATGAACATTATATTTAAATTTCAAATTACATAGTTTATAAAAACATATTTCGAGTTGTAACGAATCTGCTGCAGTCGATTAATATAAAGCATCAAAATCTGTTATAAATCTCAATCTGCAGGAATGTTATCACATGCGCATCAAATTCGCGATCGTTTTTTTTTTTTTTTTTTGGAAGTTAGATAATATTGATCGATATACTATTCACGATCTATTCACTTAAAATATTTCATTCTATGATAAATACTTCCCCACAAAAAAAACCGGAGAAACAAATGCATAATTTCAAAAAAAAAAAATTAATTTTTATTTGTAGCATCTGTTTTCTACATATCGGTATAGTATTTTGCATAATGATCTTTGCAGAACAATATTCCCCACAAATAAACATTTAATTTAACATTAAATTTCTCACACAAAATCAATTCATACCTGAATATTATTTAAGATATCTATAAAATTTGTTATTTAAAGTTACAATTAAATTTGTATATAAACATACCGAAAATCGAAATCAGTTTTTTGGTTCTGATTTAGTCAGCGCAGTCGATACAATATTGATATGATCTGCTGGCACACTAAGGTCACATGAAGATAATAATGGACTTTATTGATTGGATGCTAGGTATAGTTGACATCAAATTTACGGAATTGCAGCATTGCGACGCATTCGGATTAGGTTGATGCGCCATAAGGGCTGGATTTAAATTTATACTTTAATTATTAATACTGTAGCGGAAAATACGTATACAAACCAAAAATTTTGTAATTATTTTCTTGGCATCTAATTCTTATTCCAATTCAATCCATTTTTATTTAAAAATCGACATTTTGTCCATTAACAATGATAAAGAATCGTATTTTCATAAATTCCTTAAAAAAATATGTAACATTAGTGAGATCTTATTTATTAAAGTGGAAAAGGTAACGCTAAATTCAGAAACTAGATATTATTACTATGACTTATATAATTATTACGAAAAACTTGAGCCTCAAGAAGTTCTGTATTTGTGACGCTACAAAAGCCGCAACTGGAATTGGAATTTAAATTTAGATATATGGGTTATGTCAATAGAAACCAAGTAAATATATATATTTTAATAAATTTTTTTAACTTTAATAAGCAAAGATAACAAGAACATAGCCAAGTTTAATAAAAATTTAATTCTGCAAGTCTGTAGTATTTTTGTTTATTTTAACTGTTAAAATTTAAAAGTTTACGTATTATAAAAAAATTTGTTTGATTTCTATTGAAGCAAACGAATTGTAACTTGTTGCCTATACCTAGCTGTAATGTGATCAATTTTAGCAAGTGATTCACTTATTGCTGTTTGCAAAATGGCGTGATTGTAAAGTGCGTTTTTTGGTCAGATTCAATATATTAATTTCATAAAATTTTGTCGGCCATATCTATGCTCGCTAAAAAAACATAATCGCGCAACCGGACAACAATCAGGTGATTGTTCAAGTGATTGTATAAATCTCATCACTTTGCAAACAGCAATAAATCATTAATCGTCTCCGGGGTACAGCACCTACTCGGGATACCCTGTCCATGCAGTGTCCTACCAATAAGATGGTTTGTTTAAATGTTTATCCGATCTCCTAATCGTTCTTACTTATTTCCGCCCATTATTTTGTTCGTTGTATCACCTTCGAGTTCAGTAGTTCCAGTCAACTGAATTACTATCCTTTGATCGTACTTCCAACTTCTCGTTTGTAAAGCGTTCTCTTCAGATCGGTTTCTTTATAGTTTTAAAATTTTTCTAAGCTTTGCACTTGAATAAGGTTCGCCTATATGAGCGATACATACCTTCCAAAACAGACAGGGCCTCTGAATTTAGTAGCCTTCTCTATTATATTCATGTATAAAATTTCTTGGAATCCTTGAGAAGTCGACGAGTCCCGCAAAGTTTTTCCTTTTTTTCAATTTAGGTAAATGTTTTTTCTTTTGCATTATTTCTTTTTCCTTATCTAATTTTGTCTCTTCTTTTCAAGAACTGACGTCATCTTGTCACCATCGCTATTACAATATCTAAAAATTAGGAACAGAAATTTTGCGAACACATTTTCTCAACCCGCAAACCTCTTCAAATGCATCACTCATATCTGCAGATTTTTGATAATAAAAGAATTGCCTTATGTTCATCTTTTCAATTCCAACATCATAAAGATAACGATATTCAAGTTCATCCATTATATCACTTATATCGGATGGATTTTAATTGAGAAATCGATTTCCATAACACTTCTCCATTTAATGTGTAAAACGATCTGGAGATATAATGTACAGTCAACCCTTGATATAACAAAATAGCTTGTTCTGCACCTTCAATTCATTATAATTTTATAGCATTATTGTTCCATGAAATACCATTCATACGAATTTAAATTGTTGCGTTAATATATATTTGATTAACAATTCTGTATAACAAGAATGGAAATTTTACGGTAAATTCATTTGAAAATGGAACGGAACCACCAAGGTCACGATTACCTCACTTCAGTAACATAGCAAGTTTTTTTTATAGGAGATAACATTTGCATTTACAAACACATTTGGGGTGCAGATGAATCATAGAATTTCATTTGACATAGAATAAGATTAATGGGTAGAAGCATATCGTACATATTTTTACCGGCAATTGTAGCATCCTGTTACATGTATCAATTATTAGTAGTGTCAACAAAAATAACCAATCGAAAAGCTATTACATTTAGATGATTATTTTATAACGTATATTTGCTTTTTAATAAAGAATAGATACATTATTTATCTAATAGATTCTAATTCTTTTCACTAACTTCAATATGAATATTATTATTAGAATTAATTTCAGCAACGGTTATGAGTTCAGGTGACTGCTGGTTAATATAACCAATGAAATTACTAGTATGAATCGTACTATCTTCCACATTATTAAAGCTATTATTGATTTCTATTACAACTTCTTTATCAGATTTTAAAAATTCAGATAAAAATTCAGTACTATTTTTCCATTTTAAAATGGTTTCATAAATTTCCATAGCTGACGGTCGTTTTTCTGGATCTTTATCCCAACACATTTTTAAAAGATTTACATAACATGGCACCGTACCTTTAAGAATAGTTGGTTTCAAACCTTCACAAATTTCTATTGCTAATCTTAAATTATCATCTTTATATTCAGAAAATACAACATTTCCTGAAGAAATCTCCCACATAATCATTCCAAAAGAATAAACATCTGATGCTTTGGTGAATGATTTTCCTTGCAAAACTTCTGGCGCCATATATGGCAAAGCTCCATAAATTCCTCCTGATTCTTTATCTAATGTTTTATTAACCGATGTTGCAAATCCTAAATCACCAATATAAGCATTATATAAATCTTTCTGAAATATATTGTCACTATGTAAATCACAATGAATAATATTATTAGAATGAATAAGTTGAAGATCGAATGCAATATAAGATAATAATTCTAATTTTTTCTCCCATTTCATTTGCACAACTTTATGAAGGTTCTTACGTAAAGATCCCATTTCTGCATATTGCATAACTAAAATATAATTATCAGTGCCTTCATCTTTTGATATTCCATGGCATTGCAAGAACGTTGGGTTTTTATTTCCAATATTTGAATATGCGATTAACTTTAAATAATAATCATTAATAGCTGAATAGTAATTATGATTGATTTATAAAACTTAGGATTATTAAATATTTACCTCTTTTAAGAGTTCCTCACAGATATTTTTTGATCCATGAAACAATTTAAGTGCAACCGTTTTATTTAAAGTACCAACACCTGTGATTGTGCGTTTCCAATTAGCAGCATATACGGTTGCAAACCCGCCTTTTCCAATTTTTCTTCTAAATTCTAATTCATTAAATGGAATCCATGATATTAATAAATTATTGCCAGATAATAGTACTTTTAGAGAATCATTAAGATTTTCATAATCAACCGCCTTTTGAAGATCATTCCTTTTCGCTTTTTGTAGCCATTCAATAGCTTTTTCCTGATTAGGTGGTGTTCCATAACCATTTCGATAACATAATCCAAGTTCATATTGTCCACTGTAATACCCATTTTCTGCAGATCTTAAATACCATTCAAACGCCTTTTTTTCATCCTCTATAGTGCCTATGCCAAGCCGATAAAGCAATGCAAGATTATATTGTGCAGTGGAATTGCCACCTTCAGCAGATTTCAAATACCATTCAAATGCCTTTTTTTCATCCTTAACTGTACCTATACCATTTTCGTAGCAGAATCCAAGTTCGTTTTGTCCAATCGAATTGCAACCTTCAGCAGATTTCAAATACCACTCAAATGCCTTTCTTTCATCCTTAACTGTGCCTATACCATTTTCGTAGCAGATTCCAAGATTGGTTTGTCCATTCGAATTGCCACCTTCAGCAGATTTCAAATACCACTCAAATGCCTTTTTTTCATCCTTATCTGTGCCTATACCATTTTCGTAGCAGAATCCAAGATTATCTTGTCCATCTGAATTGCCACCTTCAGCAGATTTCAAATACCACTCAAATGCCTTTTTTTCATCCTTAACTATGCCTATACCATTTTTGTAGCACCTTCCAAGATTGTTTTGTCCAATCGAATTGCCACCTTCAGCAGATTTCAAATACCACTCAAATGCCTTTCTTTCATCCTTAACTGTGCCTATACCACTTTCGTAGCAGATTCCAAGATTGTTTTGTCCATTCGAATTGCCACCTTCAGCAGATTTTAAATACCACTCAAATGCCTTTTTTTCATCCTTAACTGTGCCTATACCATTTTTGTAGCAGGTTCCAAAATTGTTTTGTCCATCCGAATTGCTACCTTCAGCAGATTTCAAATACCACTCAAATGCCTTTTTTTCATCCTTAACTGTGCCTATACCATTTTGGTAGCACCTTCCAAGATTGGTTTGTCCATTCAAATTGCTACCTTCAGCGGATTTCAAATACCACTCAAATGCATTTTTATCATCCTTGGTTGTGCCTATACCGTTTTCATAATAGAGTCCAATATTATATTGTCCATCAGAGTTGCCATCTTCCGCAGATTTCAAATATAACTCGAATTCAATTTTTTTATTCATATGTCTTTTTAATTAAAAAAAATATGCTAAATAATAACTTCATATATTTTGCAGTATAATTAAAGTTTAGAAAGTACTGAGAAAGATGCTACGTCTTACTAGGTACAGTATATATGTAAATAACCCTTATTGTATACTTCTTATGTGAGTACCTAGCCATTTTCATGCCTGTTATTGGGTCATTTCTAATACATGATGTTAAGGGCGAAAACGGCGAGTCTGTCGCTAAAAGACCAGAAATCTCGCGTAACGTCGGGGATAGGCTTTAATAG